ATAAAAATTTATTCAAACATTTTTTTTATATTTCTTTTCGTTTCGATTATATTCGCTTCAAAATGTAAAAACCAATTTTTTATAGGGAGTTGTTCTCATCCCTAAAACCGTTTTTAGTACAAAAAATCGTTCCGTTATTAGGGCTTACTAGTCTATAATTATGTAAAGTTTAAGATTTTTTTAAATTTTTGCGTTGCCGACGATTCCTTGTTAGTATCAGTTGAAGAAATAGCGCATAGGTCAAGGTGGTAGATTAGGAACCTGGAGGTGTCTGAAGTCTCGAGTTTGCATCCGACAAGTACTGAGTAAATTTTCAGATGCGAGAATAGTGAAAAACCAAATAAAAGAGCTAAATTTCATTTAAAACCAACATAGATTGACTAGTTGTAATCGTTTCTGCAAGATATATATATTTTTTAATCAGTGTCATACGTCATTTTATGTAAAAAATGTCGTCATTAAGACGTAGTACATATGACGTCTCTGGTCTGTGACTTAAAACCGTCAAAAAGACGTCATTATTTGGTTAACTTGAAGGATAAATGACGTAAAATCATGTCATTATCACGGCTGTCTGCTACCTGAGATGTTTTTCGAATGTAGAATTGCAACGTCTTATAGACATTACACACAAGGCATCTACAAGATATTGCAATTTAGCGGACATTAGACATTTCTAAAACGTTTCTTCAACGTTAAATTTATATTTTGCAATGTTGATACAACATTTTAATGTTGAAATTAAACGTTTATAAAATATAGATTCAACGTTTCTGTATGTGTTATATCCTAATATTTTTCAGTACAAACTATGGAATATCTTATTAACTATTAGATTAAACTATTATGTTATTTGTTCAACAACATTACTTTAATATTTTTATACGTTGAGTATCGAAAAAATCGATTGGTACTCTTAATCTTTGCATACTAGTGTTTCAATAAATACTGTTTCTGCAAAATCCAATCTTTACATGGAAAACTATCAACAGTTGTAAAAAAACTTTTTGACACTGAATGCGGCCAATATTAAATCAATATTTAACAATATTAAATTGCAACGTCTATAAGACATTGCAATTCAACGGACATTAGATGTTTCTACAATGTCTTTTCAACGTTGAATCTACATTTCAAAATGTTGATGTAACGCAACGTTTCTGAAATGTTGATGCAACGTTTACGTGCTGTATGGGTAAATATCTATTACATAATCTTACAAAATTAATATTTTTTTTATTACGTTTTTAACAAATATATATCAATTATTTGTCATCATTATCATGTTTTTCTATAGTATTATAATAGTGTTTATGAAAAATTAATTATATTATAAGACATTGGTATTTTTATGATTGAATTTTTATTTTCAAAATTTTTACATAAATATACCTATAAATGTTTTATAATATAATTTAATGTTCAAAATATTATAATACCAACATTTATATAACTTCAAAATCAAACGTATAATTAATGTCCATAAAAGGTTTAAAAAAAGTTCTGATATTATATCTTTTAGATGTTTTAAAATACATTAATAGATCGGAATTATGATATTCTACTGAACGCCAATGGGATGTCATTTCGCTTTAAATAGGATGTTTCATTGGACGTCCATGGTTCGATGAATAACGTTTCAGATATGTTTGTTACGTGACAGTTCCGCTCGCGACGGTTGAACGGGCCGCTCACGCACGTAGCAACAAATCCCGCGCGTATCTAATTGTAGCGAGACAGGTCAAGAACCAGAAGAGTTCCTTTATTCTGACTCATGACCTAAGTCTTGGGTCTTCCTTTTCGAATCAGAGAACTGAATCTCTTTATCGCGGGACGGACCGCGAGCGTGAGGTGATATCGAGGGGAAGGAAGATGTAATTAGGGAAGATAATCAAACATTATAACGCGATTTCAAATGAGATATTAGTTTATACTAGCTCTTACGCATTTGGTACAAAATTGAAAATCAGTTTTACAATGCGGATTGGCGGATTTATTACAAAGCGGTATATAGATTTTAAAACGCGGATGTATACGCGAGAGAGTATATGTGTATGTATGTAGACATTTCCGTGTACAAGAATATGTGTGGGAGTGGGTACTATAATTAGTCGTCCGGATATATGGAGAGTAAAGACGAGAATAATATGGGGGAGAAGGTAGAGATGGTGGGAAGATGACAGGGCTATGTAGAGGTGGCAGAAGATGAGTGGGAAAGGTGGGTAAATTGTCCGTATTGAGATACAGGGCCAAAGCATTCCGTACCGTTCTTTGCAGGGTTTCCCGCACAGGAAGATATGATACGCGGGACAATAGACTTAGTGCGTCGAGCGCGATGTTCAAATCGCTACACTAGTGGGATGGTTAGCGACCCACTAGAATAAGGGAAGCAACGTATAAGTCTCAATGGACAGGAATCATGAAATGACTCCCCGAAATTATTAAACTTATTAAACGCAGCAGGAATAACAAAGCAGAAATGAAGAAGAAAAGAAGGAGAAAAAAGGAAAAATTGTAAAATTTACTTTCGGTGATGGATTTGTACTTAAATGCAGGAGGTGGGTAGCCGCTGGCTCCGGTTGGTACGCTGTGGCTTCCAGGTGAGACTCCGAGAGACTCTCTTGGTTCGATGTGGTTTCATTGACTCGATCGGCGTAAATATGTAAAGCGCGAGGAAAATTCATACAAAGATTCGTGAAGAAAAATAGAAAAATTGCGCGGGTAAGAGAAAAATATAACTCAAAAGTAAAGCAAGTGCCCGAATTGGTGCCAGAAGTCCAAGAAGAAACCTTGAAGTGTTCCAGGAAGTAGCGAAGTAATACGCGAAGAAATAAGTAGTAAGTGCTTTGAGAAGTGCGAGTTGAAGTGAAGGTAAAAAGATAAAAGTAAGCTCGCGGCGCGGAGTCACGGTTTTCAGTTGGGGGTGATTTGGGTAGGAAAATGTGAATTTTCGGGGATACTAAGTGTTGGATTCATTAGAAGTGATAGGTGTGGGGTAAGTTTATAGTCAGTAATAGTTGAGGGATTAGGATTAGGAAAATTTCCTTGGTTGGGGTTACGGGTGGAGAAAAATCGCGTGTTTTTAAGAGGTGATAATTGGAGGAACTTCAAAGTAGCGAGAGAATCTTTGGATAGGGCTGTAGAGGATAATGCAAGTCAGAAAAATGAGTCAGCGAGAAGCGTGGGACAACTGGTATTTTGTGTTTGAGATTTGGCGACTTCCTTTGATTTTCTAGATAAAGTGCGACGGAATGTGTCTTAAGGATTAGGAGGATTTCGGTTACGTATTTCCCAGGGTTATATCTGGGATTATTGTGGAAAATTTTTATTGTGGAAAACGGAAAACCGTTTATGATTTTGGGCTGTTTGTCGAATGCATTCCGGAAGAAGAAAAGACAAGGTGTATGCTTTACGTCTGTGCAGAACGTAAAACGTCCATTGGACTTGATTTTGCTCTCTGGGCATATTCAGGAAAGAACGAGGATGTTCTCAGGACGTCTTTAGGATATCCTCAAGACAAATTCAGGACAGCACAAAGACATCGTCTGGAGAGCCATAGGACGTCGAGTACAGATATCGACAGCGTCCTAAGAACATTTTTGTAGAATAATTTCAGAGTTGTTGCGAAATATTGTTATATATATTTCGCACAAAAAGTAAAGGATCACCCAAAAATCTAAAAAATTTTTGTAATTTTTAAGCTGCTGTAACTTTGCGAAAAATAATCGGATTTTAATTTCTCTAAAAGAATTTTAAAGTTTGTTTTTTTAAGTTTCAAACTTTTTTTTAGAAAATTTTTATCATCCCCTACCACTCTGTTAGACATTTTAGAAGAAAGACAAAAAATGATCCTTTCATTTTTGTACTGAGGATATCTTGCGGACGTCTTTGTGCTGTTTAGAGATGCTCTGTAGACCCTGCGATCGTGTCTTTTGATTACAAATATTACAAACACGAGGATTCTTTCCTTATTTTAACTAAAATATGGCGAATGTCTTTGCCTATTTCGCAGGTTTCCGCGAGAGATCTCCACTAGAACTCCTGTAAACCCTTAAAAAGATTACGATAAAAATGTATCCTCTGAGATGACAGTTATGTTTATATTTGGTTAGAAGGGCTAAAAAGGATTGTGTGTGTATTTGTGTTTGTAGGGAAGAAGATTGTGTATGTGTGGGGTGAGGGAAAATTATTAGAACTCCCTGAAGTCTTTATTTTACATGTTTTAACATTTCTGTACAATAGAGAAGCTGAACTAATTAAAATTTTCATTACTTAAATTATTGCATTTGAAAGTTTGGAGGAGCTCTATTAATCCAATCTAATTAAACCCCTCTTCTCCTCCAGACTCTCATATATTGTACAATAGAGAAGCTGAACTAATTAAAATTTTCATTGCTTAAATTATTGCATTTGAAAATTTGAAGGAGCTCTATTAATCCAATCTAATTAAATCCCTCTTTTCCTCCACTCTCATATATACAATCCTGATCTCCATAACATAGACACACAACCTTCTTTTTTTCTCTTCTCTTCCAATACAAACACGCTTTCAGTCTCACTGGACGCATTTTTACGATAGTTTTTTAAATTTGACTTTATGTAACCAATCTCTCCTACATGTATATATACAGGTACAAACATTAAACTCTAACAAAATACATCCAAAAAATTTACACAGATGTATTTTATGGTAGCTCCATAAAAATCAACTAAATTTTTATAAATATATCATGTTCTCGAAATACTATAAATTCAAGGTGATCTCGAAATACTATAAATTTTTTATTAATTTTATCGTATTTAGAATATCGATACCGAAATTTATAGTATATAAAAAAATACAATTTTTCTGGCACCTTTTTGAGCAAAAATTAACTCCTATTTAACATCTTCCTTTCAATAAATTTTTGCTGTTCTGCAACTTATTCAAAATTTATCAAAATTTGTGAGGGACTTCCAATGGTTCGTTATTAATATATTAACTTTATTTATTTTCGCAGGTTATGATTTACCATGGGAAGAAAAAAATACAATTTATCCTAACAACATGGCAACGCCATTAGAAATTATAATTGAAGCAAGTAACGGTGCATCTGATTATGGTAACAAATTTGGAGAACCAGTTATTTCCGGCTTTGCGCGGACTTATGGAGCGATTGATAACGCCGGTATAAGACGAGAATATATCAAACCCATAATGTTTAGTGGAGGATTAGGCACTGTGGATGGGAATCTTGCTATTAAGGTAAGTTTGTAAAAGTTTGTCTAAATATAGGTTGTCTGACAATGAATGATACAATACTCGTGTACAGTTACTACGTATTAATAGGAAAGTTCTCGATTATTTTATATACAACCATAAAAATTATCGTAATATTAATTAAAGAATGTGTGCGTGCGTGATGCAGTGGGATAAGCTAATGCAGTGTAAAGCAGCCTGAAGAAACAAGTTTTGTGATTGTTTTTTAAATGCGTAAATTAATTCAGTACTTTCATTTTAATTAATCATAAATTCAAATATCTTTCTGCCGTTTAATAGGTTTTGAAGTGTTAAGGGGATGCTGTACGCGATTGCGAACTTCGAAAAAGTCGACAATGTAGTACGCGTCGGTTTAGGACATACGCTAGATGGCAGTGTATGTTCGACACGGTTCCATCACTGATAGAATTTCGATTGTAGGCACGCAGCGCAGAGTTGCCAGATCTAAGATGCAGCGTTCTTCTCTCTGCGTTTACGCAGGCAGAGACGCTTTGTCTATTTGTATGACGATCCTCGTCACATGGATTCGTACACTGAATCTGTATGAACCATAGAAAAAGAATAACGTAAACAATCGAGAGCCACGTATATGTACGCCTAACGCTTTAGTTCATTGATATAAGAATAGATCGAACATAAGACTCGAGATCTGAAGACGTAAAACAGTACATGTAACATATTTTGGCCGATTTTCGATTGAGATTATAATAAAAAGCGGTAGCAACAGTAACGCATTTACGCAGTTACATTCTTTACATAACAATAATGAATAATTTCATAACTTTTAGGTAAAATTTTCCGTTTCTTTGCACATATAGAATACATGTGTATAGAATAGTATAGAATAGTCAAAAAGAAATCTTAAAAAAGTCTTCACAATTTTGTGAAAAAATTACGAAATTATAAAGATTCGTTACTTTTATGTAACCATTACAGTAACGAGTTATTTTTTCAATGGATAACGAGTAATGATAATAAATTACTTTTATCAATGAATAACGAGAAACAGTAACGTATTACTCGTTACTCCAGCTCGCGCTATTTCTCCTTATCTCATCGCCCCGTGCGGAACCTACAATCTACTTGAGACTCATTGCGCGTGAGACGATGAGGTAAGGGGAAATAGGACGTGCCGGAGCAAGTAAAAAACTGGCTGATATGTGCAATGCGTGCCGAACTCCGACATAAATAGAGACGGAGACTACATCTCCGTCTTTCTTTTATCGCGCGATTCAGAAAGAGAAAGAGATACTGTTTTCACCTTCTATCTCTTTTATATAATTTTTTTTCTTGTTTGTACCTCAGATTTGTTGTTCAAATATTGGAAACGCTCAGTCTATTCTTGTTATGTCTATGCTTCCGCTCTAAGTGCGAAGTGCACGTGGTTCTCAAATGTATCCGTTATCACCAGGTTTAAAAAATAAAACCTGTAATGTTGTGTCGTGCCTCGTGTTGCCGGGACGCGAAAGAGTTCGGAATCGGTGATGCGGACGCGGCAGGGTGTGTGGCGGTGGGTAGGAATGTAGTAAAGTTTGTAGCCGCTACTTGTATTTAATATATAAAAAGGCTTTATTTATAACTGTATTTAGGCGTATTTAATTATTACTCCCGAGTTCTTATAGTAATGTGCAAACCGCGTGTCGGTTACGTATGTCGCGGGCGAGAGACCGAGGTGTTAAGTCTCTGGCGGATAGTCTTCTCCGCTCTTTTATAATATTGTGTAGTCTTGTCGGAAGGGGTGCCTGGCGACAAGGAGATTACCATATTTGGTAATTATTTGGTGTGGTTCGGCTCGAAGTCCGAAATGCAGAATGTGCAAGATGATGCTTAGCGCAGCAGTTGCACATCCGCTTCCTCGTTGTAGCGCAGTCGAAACGGTTCCTCCTGAAGCGTTCCGACGGCGCTAATACTGTTCGCGATTATAACAGTCGTTACCGTTTTTTTTTCATTTACGATTTGGTAACGTTACTTTTTAATTAAAAACGGTTGTAACAGTAACGCATTTACGCAGTTATATTTTTTTTATAACAATAACGAATAATTTCGTAAGTTTTACAAGAAACTTACCGTTTCTTTGCACATGTAGAATATATGTCTATAAATCAATCAGAAAGAAATTCTAAAAAATTCTTAATAATTTGTGAAAAAATTACGAAATTATATAGATTCGTTAATTTTAAGTAACCATTACGGTAACGAGTTATGCTTTGAATGGGTAACGAGTGAGGGTAACGCATTATTTTTCACAAGTAACTTTTTCAACCCTGCTTATCACATTTACTCCTGTTAATGTGGGGCTGCATATTTATTCTGCCATTATTGGCCAGATGTACATATTCCATTGGTGCAATGCATTTTGCATTTGTTGTCAATAATCTTATCAATATTTCATGTCAGAGCGCGTTCCTTGACACAACTTATTACAAAATTAAACTTTTAATTATTGAAAAAATCAATGGACATGACACTAGATGCTTCTGTTAGTAGATGTTATTAAAAGTAAACAGATTTTATGTATGTTTTATTGTTGCTACTTTTAATCTTATTAAATGTTGTATATATGTGAGAGCAAATTTTTCTGATATTACTTATTATTACAAAAACTATATTACATTAAGATGCATGTGGTCTTTAATATAATGACATGCAAACAGACCACACACGTATAAGTGTATCTGCTTTGAATATTCATATACATAATGCATGTGTCAAACCGAATTTCTCTAACATTATTTATTCACAAAAAATCACATAGCACCATGCAAGATTTCTGTAGCATAATTCAATATGAGTAATACGTAGCTTACATATGCTATAATACATTCTCTGCTTTTTATATTATTATATAAAAAGCATGTATTTATATATATTCAAGCACACACACACACACACACACACACACACACACACACACACACACA